TTAGCTTTTCAGCAATGGTGCAGTAATAACTATTCAACTCATTTGTTTCAAGGTGTAAATACAGGTTAATGGGGGTGCCTGGCCTACAGGACATGTATAAGAATATCACAGACATAGTTGAACAAAAAAAATAATTTTTTTTCAAACATGATAGTCCTTGGTATGGTATGGTATGGTATTTTTTTGCAAAAATATGGGTCAGGTACTACTTTGGATGAATATTTTTGTTATTTAGACATATTTCGATGATAAAATATAGTTTTTCAACATTGGCATTTTGGACCCGATCAACCGAAATCTCTCTGGCAGCGAACATGTTAATGCTTTGAATACCACAATATCTAACAAAAAATATAGTCCTAGCCTCGGTCCTAGCTCATGTTATGGACACAGTGGTCATATTAATAAAGAAACTCTTAAGTCTTAATTTACTAGGTATAATTAGTGTTCAAGGGGCAGTTTACTGGTCAAAATCCGTGAACAAGTTGGTCAAAATTCCAGAAAATCTCATAAGATCTAGGTACTTGAAATCCCTAAAAATCTTTAAAATCCCTAAAAATTTAACAAAATCTCACAAAATCTCTTGAAATTGCATAAAATCCTACAAAATCTCACAAAATTTTATTGAAACTGAAAAAATCTGGCAAAATCTTATAAAATCATTAACATTCCTAAAAAATATTTCCTTCAATATTCCCAAAAATCCTTTGGAATTCCCAAAAATCTGTTAAAAACTCTAAGAATCCTTTAGGATTTCTAAAAACTTTTCAAAAACCCCTGAAACACTGACACACAATCACCTGAAACCTAAAATCTTCTGAACTCATGTAAAATCATGTGAAGATTTTCAAAATCCTATAAAATCAATAAAGATTTAAAATATGTGCACACATTTTATGGAGTTATAGTTTGCCTTAGGAGTCTAGCACTATGCCGTCTGAAGGGCAAGGGGGAATTACGCCATTCATTTCGAGCTTTATACTGCTTGTCATAGGCGTGCGCGCAGCGTTATTAAATATTACTTTTTCCTAATAAATGTAGGTGTGTAATAAAGATAAATACATATTAAGGTATTTTCTATTTGAAGTCAAATAGGCAATATTGCAATTTTTTTATCCGCATTCCCATAGTGCTAGACTTGTAAGGCGAACTTTAACTAAACTTTGAAGCGGGTAATTGGTCAAAATCTGTGTACAAGTTGGTCAAAATCCCAGAAAAACTCGTAAGATCTACTTAAAATCCCCGAAAACCTTTAAAAATCTAACAAAATTTCACAAGATTAGAACCAAAAAAAAAATCCAGCAAAAACTTATAAAATCATTAATACCTATTTCTAAAAAAAAAAATTCCCTTAAAATTCCCAAAAATCTTTTGGAATCCCCAAAAATCTGTTGAAATCTCTAAGAATCCTTTAGAATCTTTAAAAACCCTTCTAAATTCCCTAAAATGTTCTAAAATTACCTAAAATCTTATAAAATCATGTGAGGATTTTCATGATTCCTAAAAATCCTACAAAATCAATGAAGATTTAATATCTGTGTACATATTTTAAGGAGTTAACCACCTCCACTGTGTCCCTCACGCTGACCTGACACCTGATATTAGGGCAAAAACATGTTTCCAATATGCATGCATTTTTACTATTATTTTCTTGATGATTTAATAATAATAATAATAATAATAATCAACGTCTTTATTCAGGAAAAAATAAATATGTACAAAAGACAGTACATACTATATGGCAGGAATGGCGAGATTTAACTAAAGTTATTCTTACACCTAACCATTCACCAAAATGATACAAAAAAGTTGTATACTTATTTCAAGAGAAAAAAATGTACTTTTTACCTTTCTAAGTTGATGTTGTATCAGTTCTTCACTGTCTAGTCCAACTTGGGGTAGTGCTGACTCTGAATGTTTAAAGGTAATTCTGGATTTTTTTCCAGTTTTCCAATTTCCACGTCCGCCCTGCACCCTTATTATCTTTTTATCAGTAAACAGCCCAACAGATGAATCATTAGTTTCCAACTGTGCGGAATTGCAGCTTGCACTTTCCGGACGATAAATATCATCGAAAACACTTGCTTGATTGTTACTTGCAACCATTTTATGGTATTTTTGGATGGTCGATGGCATTATTGGTTCTCTTTCAGTTTTTTCAATGCCCAAATATGGTCCGAGTTCTTGCAAAACGGCATCTTCGTCCGCCAAAGTATTCATGGTTCTGGAATTAAAATGTTCACTGTTGAATTTGATTTCAATAACTAGCACAAGGCAAGGACAATTTTTTTTTTTTTTTTTTTTTTAAATATACTTTATTGTCGGAAAAATAAATTTCATTGACAAAGCATGATCTTAAATAATGTGCAAGTAATTAAAAATTATCGGGTTATAAAAAAACAAAAAGAGGTACAATCAATAAAATAAAAAATAAACATAAACATAAATGTCAAAGCATAATCCTAAGCAACACATGTACAATTTTTACTACATCAAACTATAAAGTCATATAGAAGGTACAGCCAATACAGAAAAAACATAAAGGTTGCGGTCAGAACAAAACAAAACAATGAAACAAACAAAATTAAAATTTTTCATTTAAAAATTCATTAATATGATAGTAGGCTTTTCCATGTAAAAATGTTTTGAGCTCTAGTCTAAACTTTTTAAAACCACCTATCTGCCTTAAGTTAACAGGCAGATGATTAAAAATTTGCCTACTTTTATAAATTAGTGAATTTTGCGCCAATGCAGTCTTGGGTATAGGAAGCTGAATTTTAAGAAGTTGCCTAGTTGGATAAGTTCTTGGATATTCTAACTCATCATAATGTTTTTTGTGCATAAGGCAAGCAGTTTCCATGATAAATATACAGCATACTGTAAGTATTTTATGTTTTAAAAATAGTGGCTTGCAATGCTCCCAATATCCAACCTTACACAAATAGCGCACTGCTCTCTTTTGAATGACAAAAACAGAATCAAACAATTTATTAGAACAGTTACCCCAAAATGCAATGCCATACCTGATATGAGATTCAACCAACGAGAAATAAACCAACTTAGCAGTATTCAAACCAAGTTCATTTGACGCTATTCTTACAGCATAGCAACCACTTGCCAATCGTTTGTTTAGATTTGTAACATGCTCATTAAACTTAAGTTGAGTATCAACATGAACACCAAGAAATTTACAGCTAGTTTTATTTTCAATTGTGTGTGTGTCTAATAATAAATCATCAAAAAAAAATTTAAATGTCAATATGTTGGTTTTCTTAGAGTTAAAACAAAGCAAGTTAGAGTCACACCAGCTCTTTACAAGATTTAGGTCTTCAGAAATAATCTTTTTCAACTCTTCAATATTTTTTCCGTTCCAGGACAGAGTAATGTCATCAGCGAATGATGTTATTTTAGCTCTAATGGGGAGGTGATTAATATCATTTAAATAAAGTAAAAACAATATTGGTCCCAACACAGATCCTTGTGGGACACCATTGGTCACAGCCAAGTTTGATGACTGAGTATCACCAATCTTAACAAATTGTTCTCTTCCCGAGAAATAAGATTCAAACCATGAGTATGAGATTCCTCCGAAGCCATAAATTTCTAGTTTTTTAAGCATTATTTTATGATTTACGCAATCAAAGGCTTTAGAGAAATAACAAAACACAACGGAGACAAGCTCACTTTCATTAAGACTGACGAATACCTGTTCCAAAAGATTAAACATTGCATCATGGGTGCCCTTTAATGGTTGGAATCCAAATTGAGTGTCACTTATTATGTTGTGTTTTGAAAAATATTTCAACATTCTTTCTTTAACTAACTTTTCAACTATTTTTGACAACGTCGAGAGAAGTGATATTGGTCGATAATTACATGGGTTGTCCAAATCGCCACCCTTATAAACAGGCAACACAATAGCTTTTTTCAGGCAGTCTGGAAATACTCCTGTTAAAAATGAAATATTAATACATTCAGGCAAGACATATAATGCATTATCAGGCAAGTTTCTAAGCAAATTTAATGAAACATTATCGTGCCCACTGGATTTATTGTTTTTTATTCCTCTAAAGATTTCATTAAGTTCTAATACATTTGTAGTTTCCAGTACAAATGTGTCATTTATTTTAACATCCAATAAATAAGAACCAGGATCCACATTACTTTTCAAGTTTTGTTGTAAAGTATCAGCAACACTACAGTAGAAGTTGTTGAGAATATGGGGATCTAATTTAACATCTGCTTGAAGAACTGAGTTTTTACCAGTTAACTGATTAATTATTTTCCAGTTTTCTTTGCTGGCATTTTTGGAGGAGTTTATTCTATTCTGATAAAACTTTTCTTTAGCTGCTTTTAAAACACTTTTGTAAATTTTTCTATATCTGCAGAAATAACTTATGAACTGAGGACAATCAGTAAATTTGCGAATATTTTGTAACGAACGCATGTTTTTTGATGAAACTTTAATAGCGAGAGTAATCCAAAGTTTACTTTTCTTTTGCTTAATTTTTTGTAATGGAAAAGATTTTAAAAATGCATCAGTTACTAATTTTTGGTATTCGTTTAGTGGTGATTGACAATTCAAAACTGCTGGCCAATTTAATTCCTTGCAAATATCTTTAAATTTTTTATAATTGTTGCTGCTAAGTAGTCTACCAACTTTATATTTTGGTGGTTTATTTATCGCAAGTTGAAATTTTGCTAAAACTGCCTCGTGATCCGAAATGCCTACAGGAATTACACTACAGCTAACAAACATTTGCTTTAAGACAAAATTTGAACACAGATAATCGATTTTGGTTCGAGAATGAACAGTTATTCTAGTAGGTTCGTTAACATACATCTCTAGGTCAAATGATAAAAACAAGTTAGACAGAGTTTGCTGTGCCTCTGATCTGTCATCATCAAAATTTATATTAAGGTCTCCCCCTAGTATCAAACCTGCCTTGGGTGGCAGTTTTGATAAAAGAATTATTGACCAATGATTGATAACTAATGACTAAGATTTTTAATTAGCTGATAAAACAATAAAATATTGCAACATAGTAATTGACGCATATATAGGGATTGCGAAATTTATGAGTTAATAGCAGAACAATTTAATATTTTCAATTTTAAACAAGTCAGTAAAATCCAGGGTGAAATCTAATTTGAACTTACGTTTTAAAGCTGGATATTTAATACTTCTGTCGAGACTTCTGTAAATATTTATGAGTTGTAAGTAGGGATAAGCAAAAATGTAGAAATTACTTTTTATGAGTACCTAGTGAAAGTGTGACCTTACTTAAATTATTAGCAGCAATCTTTTGTCTCAGAGAAGTCCTGTTTCAGGTAGATAGGCCTTTCACTAGAAATTTAAAATGATTTAAAATAAGATATGATATTTTGCACAAACCTAAAGAAACAAGTTTTAACAAGAACAAGACACAACTTCTACCAGACACTGTTTTAATATACTTTTTTATATTTTTCGCCATTTTACTTTCCTTGACTTTGACAAGTCTATAGCGATTTCGATTTGACTGAACTTTGACTCTCAGTGCACCCTTTAAGTTTACGATGTTCGGGTTGACATTTCAGTGCGCAGTGACCATGGCTATGTTCCGATATCAACTGTTAGTACTGAATTTACTGGACGCTGTTTGGACGTTATTTTCAGTACAGGGCACTTTCCAAAATTCACCGGTTTCTGAACCGGCGCGATACCGGTTTTATAGTTCACTCACTAAACCGTTCCAAAATGTACCGACTTTTTACCGGTTGAACCCGATCGTTCGTTCCAAGCAGGGCCGTAGCCAGGGGGGGGCATTGGGGGGCAACGCCCTATCTTTCAAATGATGTTGCCCTACCTTTAAAACGCAAGAAGCATTAAGGTTTCTCTACGAGATTTAATAGGCCCGAAATCGAGTAAGTGTGAGGATAAGTTTTTCCGAAGACGCCTAAGACCCAGTTGTACAACCCCGGTTCAAAACAAAGTTCAACTGAACTCGACTGGTACTTGAGCTATCCCATTTAAAATATATTGCTGTCAGGCTATTGATCAGATTCTATCAATTTTGACAGCAATGCATTTCAAATGGGGAAGTTTAAGTACCAGTCGAGTTCACATACATAAGGTCGGCATACACACACGTTATTTCGAGCGGTTTATCGTGGCGTGTTGGGATGTAGCGGTTTGCACGCGCGAAAGAACGGCGTGGCAAAAAAAAGCATCATGTTCCATACACTTGACAAAGTATTCAAATGATTTAGCACGTGATTACGCGCGGCGTATCAGTTGGAAAGGAAAAACCGTATGTGTATGGGTAAAAAGTGTCATTTATCGTGTCGTTTGGTAGTGCATGTTGTCATGTACTAATTTTCAGGGTGAATCCCCACGGGCGTAGCTAGCGCAATCGGCGTGAACGTCAATTCTACGCGAATTTTGGCTTGACATCTCGCATGTAGTGCATCAAAACCACAACAAAAACATTTTCTAACAATCTTGTTTATTTTCTGCCAGGTTGTAATGAAAATTTACTTATTTGTTGTAGTCCTTTTCCTTTTATTTTCTGTGATTGTTCCATCATAAGTGAGTAGGTGAGTTCGGCTTGGCAACTCTTTCGACTCCTTTGACACTTTTCACTGCAAAATCGTTCGGGTCAGGCCACTGGGAGCAAATAGTGGAAGCTCCACATCGTTTTTGTACAGCCAAGTAGAGTGAAAATAATTAACTCCATATCCATGAGCTCCACCTCGCGAGATGAAACTCGACAAGCGAGCATGCGCACTTCCAATATTCCTAAAAGGCGCAAAATTTAGGTTTTCAATAATTCACTATCCCAACGATCCTAACCTAAAGAATTCAAAAAATATTTTTTTTGCTTAGGGCTTGGTTGCTCCCTGGGGATCCTGGTAGAAAAAAATGGCACCGCTCATCGCTCCCCAAAATATCCGCAGAAAAACATGTTCCGGTTTGTGATGGGGATAAGCATTCGGGGGCCGCGGCATTTCTTCATTGGCGGCGGCTCGCCTTGCTCCTAATGCGTTCGACTAACCATTTTACTCTTTTCGCTCTGTGTTCAGGTTACTATGAAACTGCTCTTTATCCGCCCCAACTCCGTTCTGCCAAGCTGAACTCACCTCATACATTACGTCACAAATTTGCCACGATTACACCGAAAAGTTCAACAAAACCCAACTATTTGCCGTAGCGGCAGCGTAATGTCAAAAATTCAAGATGGCTGCATTGCCGCCAATGAAATCGTACAAATTAAATCACATGATTAGTTACGCTCATGTTACGCTTACGTCAATTACGCCCGTGGGTTCTCGCCCTCAACGTGATAGTTTGCTACGCGGCGTTTATGTCTCCGTACTAGCGACAGTTCAGTACTAGCCTCAAAACCGTGACGTGAAATGGCGTGTGGACACGGTTGTGAACTGCACTATCATGTAGGTACTTGAGTACTGAGACATCACATTCCAGATGAAAGCACGTCTGAAATCCCTTCCCATTCTATCATTGCGCGTAGTCCTCCTCACTCACCTCACGCACATGATTTTTCACAGGTTTTTGCAGATGACACGATAAACCGCGAGAAAGAACGTGTGTCTATGCCGGCCTATATATACTAACGTATACCGCTCAGAGACGATTGCGCATCGGAATAAAAGAAGATAGAAGAATCGGCCATTTTGACCTATGCTTTGACATTGATGAAATAATATAGCGAATTCCATTGGTAGAACCAGTGCAGAAAAAATGTATTTTTATCTCTTTCTTAGACAAGCTGGTAGAAAAAGACACCAATACACCCAGAGCTTACGCACTCTAGAGCTTACTAACCCTTCCAATGGGATTCGCTATAAAAGTTACAGATCACTGTAATAATGTCCCGCGTTATTGACATTAATTTTAAATAATTGTTTAGTTTTGTTTATAAATATGTTGATTGTGGTTTTCAATTGGTTTTGTGTATTTCAACGTATTTTTTCGAAGTTGGATTATAAAGTTTGTGTATATTATTTTGAAAACATTATTCTGAGGTGCTCGACACCTACACTTATTATAACAATGTTATTTATAAAGATGTCATTTTTGACATTCCCGCTAAAAATATAGTTCAAAATGGCAGCCTCCTATGTTACATTGGTCGGTCGTCGCACTTTAGCGGTATACGTTAGTATATAAGTATGTGGTGGAATTCAGCTGAACTCAATTTTGAACCAAGATTGTACAACTGGGCCTAAATGTATGCAACAATGTTTGAAATTTGACGTTTGCACAGAGGAAGTTTTTCGTTTCGAAAGCGGACGAGAATCAGCGCCATTTTGTTCACTTGCCAGAGATGTTATTATTTATTGAAAAATTTACCTTCGGTCATTAGCCCATTTTGTTTACCTATAAAAAATTTAAGGGTGGGGGGAGCAAGTAGTGTATGCCCTATGTCAAATTTGTCATGCCCTATCACAAATTTGACTCTAGCTACGGCCCTGGTTCCAAGTTGACCGGAATGATCATTTGTTTGAAACCGGTGAGGCACCGAATCCACCGGGAATTTTTGTCCGTTCTTTCGGTTGGAGAGTTTTTGACACTTTTGTTATGACCTACAGTAATTGCTTTGAATGGGCACTATGGGTAATCGTTCGTTAAATTTTTGCTTGCAGATTGCAGAAGAAAAAAAGTTTGCGTGTGTAGGTGAACAATTTAATCTTTATTCAGTTTATTCATCATGAACTCTACAAACCAAACACTCAAATAATCTACAAAAATCGTATTGCAAATTACCGTTTCTTTACAGTTTGAAAAAAAATAGATAGATACCAATGGACAAATGGTACTACACCCGACACCTCACCACCATACATTCCAAACAACACAACCAAACTTTAACACACCAAAAACCCTTTTCACGTGGCTCCGGTTTAACAAACCGCAACATACCTCTCAAATTCGAGTGGTAGGTATCCATCACGTCACTTTGTAACCGGGTAAGAAAACGGTATGTCATTTCTCTAACCTTTTTGTAACCCGGTTAGTTAAACCGGAGCCACGTGAAAAGAACTAAAGCGTTCCAAAATGCATCGGAAAAATCATGTAACCGGACTTACCGGAATTTTTTGACAGCTACCGGTTTATTTAACCGGTCAATTTATCGGTGAAATTTGGAAAGTGCCCACACGATTCAGTTATGACGTTTTGAATGCGCTAGTGACGTCATTAATATTTACTAGAGAGGATTCTAGAATCACGACGCACGACTCGAAAACGAGACGATTTTTTTTTCCGACGATCCTAGGATTCCTAGGTTGAAATCTCATTGGAATCATACCTCTCGAGACAGGCTCGGTATCGAGTTGCGTCTCGTTGTGGAGTTGTGAGTCGAAGCGTGATTTTAGAATCTCCTTATTTTCCAGCAAAACAGTACGCTGTTAAAATCGGAACGGCAAAGGACAGTAAATCAAGTACTGGTAGTTGATAACGGAACATAGCCCATTACAAAAGGGTATCCAAAGAACACTGATAGTCCAAGAGCTGGCAATACTAGCGGGTATGTGATCGTTGCAATGGATAATTTCTACATAAAACAATAGTTCATACTAACCTTTAAACCAAATGGATGGGTGGCCTCGATTCTCATGGCCGTAAAGTTGTTTTATAAAAAGATACTTCAAGAACCATAAGCGCAACAAATAAGAAGTACCTTGCGGTGTAGGGGGTTCTCATCATATGCGGCAAACACTTTTTTAAACAATTTCATGTTTCTTTTTTTGTCTAAAGACCTACAGCTGTATGCAAAATCCTCTCTACAAAGTCCTCTTTTAACTTTGAAAGTGACTTTACCACTATTAGCTGCTAATGGTAATGACGTCATTCGCAGACCTTGCTGACTCGAGAATTGGCGAACTATGAGAATGAGCAATCCTGTTAGTTTAGAGTTTATGGATATTTATTGGTATCGATACGATACTCTTTCGTCTCTACTTGTTTTTCATATCGATATTAATATGAGAAAATATCGCTAATATTCTCCATACGATTTTCCATCTATTTTTTTTATAGAATGCCTGGATTTAGAAATGAAAGCACCTTCTTGCACTTGCATGTCCATTGTCCATTGCTTGCTTCGTTCTTTTCATAATTTATTATTTTGAAATAGGTACTTCTTATGAAATAGGTATAGATTTTTTAGCGACTAATGATTTGTAACCGTGTTATACACGGTAACTGAAAGTATAGGGGCATCATTATTTTCAGATACCGTTTCCGTACTAAAATGATGAAATTTCAATTTTGCTTTTGTTGAGATTTTGCGTTTATAGAATCAGTTGGGACCCTCAAAACTCCATAGAGTAAATTATTCTGAGATCGTCGAAATCTATGAAAAAAGACACTCAGAAAATTGAAAAATTGATAAAAGTCACCCCAAATTGATTAACGCGATTTTATTTCTGGAACTATAAGTCCACATGAGCTGAAATTTTCAGAGATTGTAGTTCTCTACTTGGAAAACAATTGCTGAAAATTTCAGATTTCTATCTTTAATAGAAAAAAAGTTATGTGTCCCCAAAGTTTTTAAAAATCCAAATCATAACACCTTAGTATACTTTGTTTCACGAGGGCTTATACGTACTTTTGACATGATTTTCCTTCCTTTATTAACAAATAGAAATTGACTGAAACAAATCAATGACGGCAAAAACGTTCGTCGGTTCTTAAACCAGAAGTCATTCATTTTATTTTTGTTAAAAAAATTGAATGTGTCCTATCAATTAATCTACGATAACCCTTTTTTTTCAAGTTATGACGTCTTCGATGTCATAAGTATAAACCCTCGTGAAACGAACTTTACCTACATAAAAAAAAAATCTGAGTCGTAGAGAAAATGTTGTACATCACACAGATGGTGAGGCTTATTACAGCACTCGTGCTGTTATAGAAAAAATACGAATGTTCACTTATCCACCAGTTTTTTCTTAGGTATTTTTTCTAAGGTAGGTAGGTACCTACATTTCTTCTCTCAATTTTTCCAGCTCAATATTCTCAATTTATAATTTTTTTTTTAAATTCCTGGCTCTTGAATTTATCAAAATAACGAAAATTCAAGAGAGCTTGGAATAGAAAATACATGAATGTTCTCTAAATAGGAATCCTCTTATAGGTATCTGCCAATTTTTTCTCAATTTTTCTTACATTTCTCCTCTACTCAATTTTTCCACGTCAATTTTTATCTATTCTCAACTCTTGAATTTTCGTCCACTCATCTAACAATTTTTTCACGTTTCTCAATTTTTCCATGTAAATTTTTGTTTATTCAATGTTCTCTTACTTACCAATTTTTTCTCAATTTTTCTACATTTCTTCTCTAATAGTTAATTCTCAGTTTTTTCGTCTCAATGTTTGTCAATTACCGGCTCTTGAATTTTCGTTTCAATTTATTAATTTTCTCCAAATAGAGAAAATGCATCAGGAACTTGAATTAGAAACAAGATACTTTGTGTTTATTTATCTACCAATTTTTCCTCAAGGTAAGATAAATGAGTTTCAAGTTATTCAAAATAGAGCTTTAAGAACGATTTTGAAATGTAACAAATATACACCCCTGTAAATATCATGTCGGTTAGGCAAGGAATTGCGTATGATGTAAATGTTTTTTTTTGTATAAAATAAGAAATAATCTGGTACCTACCTGAATATGTCTATGTGATAAAGTAAAGTATTTTGAGAAAGTTTATGCATACTTATCAAACGAGAAATTGTGATGATTTTATCCTAATCGATAGGTATTTCTCAAACCAAATGTCGAATTCTATTCTGTATCTATAGCTGAGGACTCTCTGAATTTAATAAAATGCCACTGTGATAGCTTTACCAATTGTAAATCTTTGTTGAGGGAATATGTTGTGTACTAATTTAAAATATCTGCAAAATGGTATCTTATTATTGTTACCTATATTATTGTATTGTTATACTGTTTTGTGATCTCTGAATGTAGAAAGGATTGTTTTTTTTTGTATGTAGCCCAAACCTAATAAATATAAGTATTATCATTAATTCCTCCTAGTCCTAAATTTCTTCTCACTATTTCTCAATTTTTCCAGCTCAATTCTTGTCTATTCTCAGCTCTTGAAGTTGTCGAAATAAAGAAACTTCAATAGCCTGGAATAGAAAAATCATGAATGTTCTTATCTATCAATTTTTTCTCGATTTTTCTACATTTCTTCTCCAGTTAATTCTCAATTTTCGTCTATTCTCGGCTCTTGAATTTTCGCTTTTTTCTAATAAATTTGTTTATAAATAGAAAAAAATTTCCCAATTACTCCTAAATTTTTTCTCCCTACTTCTCAATTTTTGTTTTTTCCCGGCTCCTGAATTTGTTGAAATAAAGATAATTCAAGAGCCTAGAATAGAAAAAATATAAATTAACATTGTCCAGAACATTTAAATTAGATCATGATTCCTTCCTTATCGATTCGTGTTGGTTTTTCTCCGTGAGGGTTCAAAAATCGAATAAATAAATGCAAATTAATTTTTTATTTATATTTACTTTTCTACAAAACCGAAAACTCTGAAAGATTTTGATATAAAAGTACGAAGGCGAAGTACTACAACTGCTACATATAAAACTACGATTTGAATGTCCAAAATTACAAGAATTCAGTGTCGAAATTTTAAAAAAATCGAAATTTTCGACTTTAAGGTCGAATTACCAAGTATTTCGACATTATAGTAGAAATTTTGAAGCAGAAGTCGAACTCTTTACTTTAAAGTAAAAATACATACTAAGTATTTCGACATTAAAGGTCGAAATTTCGAGAAAATAGTCGAAATATCAAGAGATGCCATTGATATGAGTCTCTTATTATCTTTATAGAAAATGAGTTAGATCATAATCTACCACCAATTTCGAGAACATATGGATGTTTTTGCCACTAAATATTACTCAAGAAGCGAAAATTATACTTTCCAATGCTAAAAAAGATAGTAGATTCGATTTGGGGGGATGTACAAAGAGTCTTCGAATGCATTTTGGAACTCCTTTCATAAAAAAATAACTTTTTCCCCCAAGAAATTTGTCCAGAATTTAACATTAGACGTAATCCAGTTCGTCTTATCAATTTAAGTAAAGTGTCAAGTGAAGAAGATAAAAAACCAATTAGTTGAATTTAATGGTCTACAGATAATAAATATGCATAGATAACACTTAAGTTACTAATTTATGTTTTAAGGTTTATTGAATTTTCATATCTATGCATTTCCGCTATTTTCCAGAAATAATCTTTCATGTAAATTGCTATTTGCAAAATTCCATGTGACTTGTAGGCTTGAATTGTTTCCAAACTTGAATTTTAACTCACATACCTTTACCAATATTTTATCAGTTAAGATAATAGCCTATCAACTAATGGTTAAAAAAACCTCAACAATACAAATGATAAAAATTACATAATTCTGAACCTGAACAAACAAACAAAAAGTTGTGTGTTTGTGGTTTTATATCTACATAAAATTTAAACTATAAAACAAAACTGCTTCAATAATAATTATTTTCAGAAGCCATGATTTTTATAAGTGAAGCAGAAATCGCCTCCCTTCTCACCTGGGAGGGGACCCTAAAAGCGACCGAAGCAGCCCTAAAAGCAGCTTCCAATGGTACCTCTGCCAAAACTCAACGACTCTACACGCAAATCCTGAATACTCCCAAATGGATGATAACGATGCCTGGATATTTAGAGGACAGCAAATACGGAGGTTGGGCTTGCAAAACTTTAACTGGAAATCCTCAAAATGTTAATGGTCCAACTCTGAATGCTAATATCATGCTTTTTGATGAGAGGAGTGGAGCACTTAAAACTGTATGAGTAATATTTTTTTGGGGAGTTTTGAAATTATGATCAAGTTGGTTGTAGGTTTTGTCTGGAACTGAAATCACTAATTGGAGGACAGCTGCAGCTTCAGCAGTGGCTACAAAATATCTACACTCACGAGTATCCAATCCTGAAAAGGTTTTGAGCATTTTTGGGTGTGGAGAAATAGGCAGGGCACATGCTCATTGTTTCTATAACAGTTTTGAGTTTATAGAGGTGAGTTACAATTTTGATGAATTTTTCAAATTTTATATTTTATCCTTATCAAAAAATCAGGAACTTTGCTCTATAATAACCTATTAGGACCTTAGAACTTTGAAATCTTTCTTGAAGTTTCTTATTTTATCGAAAATCTGTTTGTGCAAGTGGATAACCATTTACAACTGTACAATCATAAATTGAGATACCAATACATTCATCTACTTAGTTTGGATTTTTATATGTACATTTCTGCACTAATTTCTATTGAGGTGGCTCTTATTTTTGTTTTAGATCAGGCTTTGGAATAGGACCCTCCAAAAAGCCCAAAAACTGGCCAGCGAACTGAACGAAAAATACAACACCACAAAATTTAGAGTTTTCGAAAACAAGGAAGCTTGTGCCAGAGATGCGGATGTCATTATTACTGCTACATCACCTGGAAAAGTTCCTCTGATCAAATACGAATGGCTTAAAGAGGGAGTACACATCAATGGTAATAATAGTTTTAGTATGAAAGAAATTGTTCTAGGAGATTATTTAGAATATTTCCAAGAGGACTGAAGTTTGTTATTGTGGCATGATATCTTATACAGGAAATGCTTTCTTTCTTGTCTTTAAAAGTATTATGTAAAGTAGTTCGTCAACATGTTTTGTCTCAAGGAATAATGGTTGAAAATTTCTTCTAGAAAAAGCACTACCTACCTATCTAATAAAAACCTAGATATATGTATAAGTAGGTACCTATTTGAAAAAATTACAGAACGAGAGATGCATCTTATAGAAACGGAGTGGCTATAGTACTAAATAAATCCTTCAGCAAATCAGTACGAAACTTTGTACCCTTTTCAGACCGAGTAATACTGCTACAGCTGGCGAAGAGACCTGTAAATGATGTGAACATTATTTAGGTCTATGCCCCTACTACTGACCATGATGATGACGAAGTGGAAGAGTTCTACCAACAAATTAAAGACATAATGAAGACGATAAAAAAAACACGAAATCACTATAATTATGGGAGATTGGAAAGCAAAAGTGGACAGAGAAACAAGAGAGAGATGTAACAACAGAGGAACACGACTTGTACAGTTTTGCCAAGAATAAAAATTCGTGATTACAAATACGTGGTACAATTTAATATATACAGGAGACTGTACACATGGAAGTCTCCCCAACACACACAGAACAATATTGTAAGAAATCAGATTGACTTCATCCTGATCAACCGGCGATTCCGGAATTGCAATAAGTCAGCGAAAAAATATCTTGGAACTGATGTGCACTCTGATCATAACTTGCTTTATTCAGTACTAGGCGTAAAATTAAAAAAAAAAAAAGAAACAACCATCGAAGACCTCAAAAATACAATAACATTATAGTAAAGGACCCCGAAACCATCAAGGAAATGAATGGTAATATACATACAATATTATATCACTTCCCCTTGATAACAAAAAGTGATAAAGAAAATTGGCGAGATCATAAAATTTCTTTGAGAAATGGAAGAGCCCAGCAGCTGGTAAAACCAAAGCGGAAAAAAAGGCAGGAAAGAATGGATGACGCAGGACATATTAAACCTTATGGAGGAGAGATGAAAACACAATAACAACAATCATATTGAGTACAAGAGAATACATCGGATAATACGCAAAAAAATTAGGGAAGCAAAGGAAGTGTGGTTCCGGGAATCCTGTAAGGGAATAGAGCAACTTGAGACCATACACGTTGACTTTAACTTACATAAAAAGATAAAAGAAAGTTCTGGCATATACAAAAAGAAAACCATAACAGTGCTGTATAATGATGATGAAAAGGTACTGTTAACAAAGGAAGATCAGGGTAATGAATGCCAGCAGTATATTCAATAACTGTTTGAGGATGAGACTCGCGAAAGACCAAATAATCCTTTGACTGATTATATGACAGAGCACGGCCCAAGCATTCTCAAATCCGAAGTTTAAAAGGCAATACACCAATCAAAAGCAAGAAAAACTCCAGGACCCGATGAAATTCCTATAGAACTAATAAAACTACTCGATGACGAAGACATATCTATTCTGACGGTATTCTTCAACCAGGTTTACCAAACTGGGAAACTTCCCGACGACTGGCAGAAATCGATCTTTATCGCCTTATACCCAAAACCAACAAAGCTAATTAATGTAGGTAATGACTTCACGCCTGAAGACAGGCATGGAACCAAAAGAAAAAGAAGATTTACACAATAGTTGTGTAGAAAATACCTGCATACATACATTCAAAATAATACAAAATCAGATTATACAAAAATCTTATTTTTTTCTCAGCTTGATACCAAACAACTTATGTTAAATTTTCTTTGGAAAATTCTGAAAAATAGGTACTTCATCGGAGAATCGTGCAGATCCATTTCAAACTTTCAAGGATATTTTCATTACTGCATTTTTCTGTAAAACGACCGTGTAAAAATATAAACTTGAAGCTTTCAAAACTAAAGAAAGAAACTTATAAATTGGGACTTTGCTATGTAGCTGTAATCTTGATTAAGTAGTACTTATACACTTAATTTTTTTTCTAGCTACTGGCGTCGTAGGTTCATCTTTATCCGACAAAACCTTCGAACTGGATAGAGAAATTTACAAGCACTCAGAAGTTTACGTCGATAATTGGCCGGGTGCAAATGCAGAACTGGGAGAGCTTACAGGGTTCGGTGCAAACATGAAAGCCGAAGTCGGTGAAGTTATTTTAGGTAAAATCGCTGGGCCCGATGGAAAACAAATAAGTGTGTTTCAAAGTTTGGGTAAGTAGAAAATTCAATATTACGATGAAAAAAAAAAAACATGCTATAATAATTTAAATTACAATAATTTTACTTACATTGGTAACTGTGAACAGTGAAGGACAAACCACTACAGAAGAACCAGAACCTTGCAACAACCGCTAAGGGTTATCAAACTTAAAATGAATTCATAATATGCGTTTTCAACGAACGAACCCATACGATATTTTTGTATCGTAACCAGATGGTGGTGTGGTGTGGGGCACGCGATAAAATATATAGTTCGTACTTCACTGGCATTCTGTTGCCCTTATTTTCTCTCTCACGTGAGGCTTTCAAGAAAATAAAAAGGCTATAGATTACTATTTTTATTGCATTTTTTGACATTTACTCTTTTCTAGGAGAGCGATAAATTAAAATTCCCACGCCGGAATGAAATATCCACCTACTTCTTGATTTTTCAAATTAAACTAGACATAATTGGGAAAACTTTTTAAACTGTTCCATTACGTGCTTACCTTACACAGCACTCAATTAGCTGGTTGGAAAAATAGCGAAGCAGTTGATATTTTAAAAGTTTAAAACTGTTGATTCAATGAAAGAAATATTGGTTCATTTTTTAAACAAACATATTTTTTTCAGGAATGGCTTCAGAAGATTGTGCAATGGCAAGATTGATTTACGATTTGTACATGAAGAAGCAGCAAAAAAATACACATTAATTAGATTATATTTTTATTACAATTGACATCCATTTTCAACTACACTGGACTACTAACTACTCCTAAATATAGTTTGCTTGGTCCACAGAAAAGGACGTGTTTTATAACAAAGAGCAAATAATTCTTATAGCAGAAAACTATTATAATAAAGTTTCAATAAAATATATTCAAAAGGAAAACAAACAACAGGATTTTAATAAGAAATATACTATACCTTATATAGGCTCTGTCAAGTTAGTCAAAGTGTGCTTTACTGAGCCGATGATATTTTGAACTGTGTTATAGGAAGAACAAGATGAGGGGCTAACTTGATGCTCAGCCCCTCCAAAATGTTGGAAATCAGATCGAAAAAAAATGAATTCTCATGCAATCTGAAGTGTGCTGAATTGTGCTGTATGAAGTTTTTTTTGAAAATTTTCATATTAGGCTATTTTTCAACCAAATCCTACTGGGGGGCTAACTTGACGCTCAGCTCTCTCAAAATTTTGGAAATCAGATCAAACAAAAATAGATTCTTATGCAATCTGAAGTGTGCTGAACTATGCTGTATCAGGTTTTTCTCAAAATTTCCATATTCGGTTATTTTCTCACAAAATCCTACTGGGTGGATGTAACTTGACGCTCAACCCCCCAAAATTTTTGAAATTAAATCAAACAAAAATGGATTCTTATTCAATATTTAATTGCTCGGAGTAGGTGTGAGTGCCGTACTATTTTTGCGTAAGGATTTCGCTGTTGAAGTGTATCCTACAAAAAATTAAAATTCAATCTAGTCCACACTTCAGATTGAATAGGAATCCATTTATGTTCGATTCGATTTTCAAGATTTTGGGGGGCTGAGCGTCAAGTTAGCCTCCTAGTAGGATTTTGTCGCAAAATAACCGAATATGAAAATTTTCAGAAAAACCTGATACAGCACACTTAATATTACATAAGAATCAATTTTTGTTTGATCTGATTCCCGAAATTTTTGGGAGCCTGCGCGTCAGTTACTAGCCCCCCACAGTAGGATTTTGCCGGATAATGACCGAACATGCCTGGATTAGGGGGGGGCGGCTAAAGGGGTTGGGGAGCCCTGGAACCCGGGCCCCGTGGTCCGCAGGGGCCCAACTTTTGAAAAACGCACGTTGAGGCGTTGAGTAGAAACGTCTACAAAGATAATCATTAAGTCATATAATCCAAGTACATTTTAGAAAATTGATCCGTTTCCGAATGTGTACACTATTTTTAAAAATTTATTTGTCAATACCTATAACCAAAGTTACGGAAAAGATATTTTGACTTATTTTCGTAAATCATGTAGGTATACCACCGTCTTCTGTTATATCAGGAATATAGTTTTCTTTTTATATTCAAGGCGAGCCCGAAATAGGTGCGCATTTTGTTATGATAGATAGAGTACAGTAGGACAATCACTTTTTGCATAAGTACCTACATGGGTCCACAAATTTTGACTTTTTGGTTTTAGATTCAAAATGCCTTGAGCGATTTTTTTCAAATTTTCGGAATGTTTGCTATGTTCTCAAGCATCTTTCTAAAAAATTCGTTCGAGTTCCACTTTTCTAGGACCGGATCTAGAGCAATTCTCATTTTTTTAAAAGGAAAACTTGGTACGCCCCTAGGTTTTCTGACAAATTTTAAATTATTTTTTGATTCCTTGTTTAATTTTAGACAAAAAAGATATCTTGAATTTTTCTTGTTCGATGCGGCGTTTACGAGCTAAAAAATAAAAATCAATGTATTGTTTGGAAAATTTCGTTGTTCGATACACTTCCCAGCTAAAAAAATAAGAGTCGGTCTAGGTCCGGTCCTGGAAAAGTGGAACCCAAATGGATTTTTCAGAAAGATGCTTGAAAACATCGCAAACACTATGATAATTTGAACAAAATCGCTCAAGGCATATTTAATCTAAAGACAAAAAATCAAAATTTTCCGAAAATTTCAACACCCTGCATTTTCTTAACGAGACGTTTGTCTACATGTTTCCGTACCTATGCAAAGAGTGATTGTCCTATTGAACTCTATTTATCATAGGAAAATGTGCACTTATTTCGGACTCACGCTGTATTTTTTTGTACCCCTAAAACTTCCTTAGCTCCGGGCCCCATGAAAGCTTAATCCGGCCATGTGACCGAATATGGAAATCTTGAGAAAAATTTGATACAGGACAGTCCAGCACAATTCAGATTGGTTGAGAATCCATTTTGGTATCATCTGATTTTCAAAAGTTTGGGTGGGCTAAGCGTCAAGTTAGCCCCCCCAGTAAAATTTTGTCAGAAAATGACCGAATATAGAAATTTTGACAAAAACCTGATACAGCTCAGTCCAGCACACTTCAGATTGGATAGGAATCCATTTTAGTTTCATCTGTTTTCAAAATTTTGGGGGGGCTGAGCTTCAAGTTAGTCCCCCCAGTAGAATTTTGTCGGAAAATTACCGAATATGGAAATTTTGAGAAAAACCTGATGCAGCTCAGTTCAGCACTCTTCCGATTGAATAAGAATCCATTTTTCTTTGATCTGATTGTCAAAATTTTGAGGGGGTTGAGCATCAAGTTAGCCCCCCAGTGGGATTTTGGCGGATAATGACCGAATATGAAAATTTTCAAAAAAACTTGATACAGCACACTTCAGATTAGATAGGAATCCATTTTTGTTTGATCTGATTCCCGAAATTTTGGGGGCGCTGCGCGTCAAGATAGTCCCCACAGTAGGATTTTGTCGAATAATGACCGAATATGGAAATCTTGAAAAAAACTTGATACAGCACAGTCCAGCACAATTCAGATTGCATAAGAATCCATTTTTGTTTCATCTGATTTCCAAAAGTCAAGTTAGCCCCCTAGTAGGATTTTGTCGCAAAATGACCGAGTATGAAAATTTTCAGAAAAACCTGATACAGCACAGTTCAGCCCACTTCAAATTGCATAAAAATCCATTTTTGTATGATCTGATTCCCGAAATTTTGGGAGGGCTGCGCGTCAAGTTAGCCCCCCACAGTAGAATTTTGTCGGATAATGACCGAATATGAAAATCTTGAGAAAAACTTGATACAGCACAGTCCAGCATAATTCAGATTGGTTGAGAATCCATTTTAGTTTCATCTGATTTCCAAAATTTTTGAGGTGCTGAGCGTCAAGTTAGCCCCCTAGTAGGATTTTGTCGCAAAATGACCGAATATGAAAATTTTCAGAAAAACCTGATACAGAACAGTTCAGCACACTTCAGATTGCATAAAAATCAATTTTTGTATGATCTGATTCCCGAAATTTTGTAAGGGCTGCGCGTCAAGTTAGCCCCCCAAAGTAGGATTTTGTCGGATAACGATCGAATATGGAAATTTTGACAAAAACCTGATACAGCACAGTTCAGCACACTTCCGATTACATAAGAATCTATTTTTCTTTGATCTGATTTTCAAAATTTTGAGGGGGTTGAGCGTCTAGGATTTTGGCGGATAATGACCGAATATGGAAATTTTGAGAAAAATCTGATACAGCACAGTTTAGCACACTTTGCATAAGAATCCTGGCTAGCATAACATAAAAATCACGACAGACAGAAAAGAAGCAACCGACAGACTGAACGTGAGAAGGGTGAAAGATAAAATCGTGGCACACACCCTGAAAACAGCCGAAGAACTTATGGACCAGGGGAGAGCGGTAGAATTTGGATGGAGGAAGGGACATGACAGGACAAACTATGGAAATAGAGAGGCGGACAAATTAGCGAAACAGGGACAAGCAGAAAACCACATACTAGACGAACTCACGGAATACTCTTTCACAAACAGACAAGCCCGCAAGAAAGACATCAGAGACCAAAGGGTTATAGAAAGATGGCAAAGGGCATAGGAGTTAGAGCCCAAGGGCAGAGAGTTGTTCAGACACTGTGCCCAAGTCGGATTGGACAGGCTAGACCTGAGTTTCAAGGCCACCCAATTGGCGACGGGCCACGGTAACTTCCGGCAGTATCTGCTCCGCTTCAAACTTCAGGAGATAAATGAGAACTGTGTCTGTGGGCTGGATATACCCTGGAGGACGCTCAACATGTGCGGGAGGCGTGCGTAGAACCCGACAGAACATCCATCAGAACTGAAATACTACACGAAAAAGGAGACCTTACTATCAGACTTGGGGTAGACAATAAAAACCTCAACGCACAGGTAGCTAAACTAAACAAGTGGGACAGTGAAAAATAGTGACCTAGTGGAATAGTGTAAAAAACTAAGAACAACCTTAGGCTAAGGAGAACTAGAATAAGAACTTAGAATATGGGCTTGCACGCCAACCTAGATAAAAAAAAGAGCACACCCGCTAACTATCCATGGTCGGAGTTAGGTGTAGGGGTTCTGGAATTGGAACAGGTGTTGCCTTGACAGTGGTTTTGTTACCTAGTTGGTCCGTATATTCAGATTGGCAAGTTAGCCTCCTCCAGTAGGATTTTGTCGGATAATGACCGAATATGGAAATTTTGAGAAAAACCTGATACAGCACAGTTCAGCACATTTCCGATTGCATAAGAATCCATTTTAGTTTCATCCGATTTCCAAAATTTTGGGGGGGCTGAGCGTCAAGTTAGCTTCCCCAATGTAGGATTTTGTCGGATAATGATCAAATATGGAAATTCTGAGAAAAACCTGATACAGCATAGTTCAGTACACTTCTGATTGCATAAGAATCCATTTTTGTTTGATTTGATTTCCAAAATTTTGAGGGGGCTGAGCGTCAAGTTAGCACCCCCAGTAGAATTTTGTCGGATAATGATCGAATATGGAAATTTTGAGAAAAAACTGATACAGCACAGTTCAGCATACTTCCGATTGCATAGGAATCTATTTTTGTTTGATCTGATTTCCAAAATTTTGGGGAGGCTGAGCGTCAAGGTAGCCCCTCATCTTGTTTTTCCTATAACTTTGGTATTGGAACGACACAGTTTAAAATATCATTGGCACAGTAAAGCACACTTCAAGCACAGTAAATGGTTGCAATTTTGTTAGAAAATTCGAATGTGGTGGGGCTAACTTGACGGAGCCCCTTATACAAATGGAGATAATTATTATAATGAAGCAGGTTTACAGAAAAAAATGGGTAGACTAATGCCTAGATATTCCTTGCTTTGCATTAATTGAAAAATAATTTCTTCACTCAATGTCTCAAAGATAAACTAAGAGAGCTTCCCAGGTGTAGAATTGATAGGTACTTTTGTGCAGTTTATACTAACCCATTATCTACTGATAAGCCTAATATTCGTTTTGGTTTTTGCTTAAATTCGATTAACACAAACAAAAAACAAAGATAAACAATCAAATATTCACAACACTTACTAGGTTTTGGCATTTGAACACCCTGTAATAGATAATTTTCACATTACAAATCCGGTAAATAAATACATGTTTTCAGTACAAGTTGGATGATACCGAAACGACTAATAGGATAGTTTACCGGACAAGTGATGGTACAACATTTTATTTCATACTGTTTAAAATCAAACAATAGCAATTATTTTCTATAGACAATAATACCAATAAAAACCATAGAGTTCTTTGTGGAAATAGTCTGGTAATGTTATGTTGTGTCTGAAAAAGGCAGTTTCCGTATGAGTTTGGACCTAAATTTCTTCTAAGAGCAAGAAAATAAGTTAGAGTAATAAGTCAAGCAAAACTGCTCAAATTTGTCTTGCATCCTTTGAGATGCACTTAGTGCAATCTTTCTGCATACAATATGTAAGTAAGACTAAATTAATTTGAATATCTATTTAACAATTAACATAATACTTAAATATACAGTATGAAATAGAGACAATTGGAAAACCTTAAAAGTCTATGTCACATGATTTAAACTATAATACAGTTTCTGAAAAATTTTATCGTGCCAGTTCGTTGTTCATACTGGCACTATTGTTCATGCCGTGATGTAATACTCCCGCCTCTGGATACATTTTTCACGCATAATGTAACACAGAGCCACTGTTATGAGAACAGCGATGGCTATTCCCATTCCGATGCTGACCCAAATGATTTCTTCGTTGATGCCCTGATAGGATCGACCTGGAACAAAAAACATTGGATTGATTTATTTTAGGGCAAAAACTGTCTTATTTTTTTTTGTAACCCGCAAAATTAATTGCAAAGGGAAACCGACAATGGGTAATTGAGGAAAATCGATCCTGACACATAAAAAAAAATGTCGTATTGGCAATTTCTCAAAGGAATGTGGTTGAATTTTGGGCAAATTGTCTCGTTAAATTCTTATAGCTTTGTTCAATCCTCCAGCGAAAAGGCAGCTGACTTTCCAATTTTGCCAGATGGATTTTTCACCCGGAGAGTTTTATTTTGGATGATATAATTTGTTTTAACGTCACTGAAAGGAGGAGTTTGTCTGAAAGTAAGGCAATAGCCATAGTCGGTTTGAGGGTTCCCAAAGGACGACGTTTCAGCGACGTATAAAATTAACTTTTATTATTTAATCTCTTGTAGTGACGCGGAAATAAACCACCAAGAAAACAATTAAAGGTTCTGATAATTCTAAACAACTAAAGACCTAGGATCCAACTACCGAAAATTAATCAAGAATAACAAGGACTTACCAAACAACCATCCCAGGAGAGATCATCACTTAGACAGCACAACCAGAAACTTCAATTAAAAATTATCTGAATATCGATATCCAGAAATTATTGAAAGCCGATACTCTATATTGACTAATACATTGGAATGTGAATAAAGCAAAAGTTCATGGACATTTTCTTTCAAGAATTAATATTCCAAAGGAGCCGAAAAATTTCTAAAAGGATCAATAAATCATGCACGAGCCTATATGATAATACTCACTTAACAAACGACTTAGCGACGCCCTTGATAATTAATTAAAAGGGGACCAAATACACTAATTGATCGGATGATTCAACCACGAAAAATCGAGGTCAGAAACAATAAAGAAATTCAAGACAATGGAGGGACCAATGATATAAAAAGGCAACTTTGGCAGGAGAAAATCAGTGTTCGAGAAAGAGCGAGTAAACCGTCAGAACTACGGCGTGAAGGACCAGTGTCGGTTGAGTAATCAAGAAACAAGTAGTAATCGAGAGACTTGTGTCCAGAAAGTCAAAACTATGGCGTGAAAGAGTTGTCGAATTACCCGAGAGGGAAAGCACGACGTGAAATAACAGCGCGAAAATATTCGAGTTTTTTATTAATTGTTCATAATTAAAGTAAATTCCTTCGACCAATAAGATTTCCATGTAATTAGGTGTGGCCAGCAGTAAATATATTATTGTTAAATGTAAGTAGAGTTTTTTTTATGTTCAGCCAGAAATTGTGAAGGCAAGAGTGTGGGTCGAGTCAAACTGTAAATTAAAATTTTACTTGGAATCATATAAATTTTCCTTAACAGTTAATTCATGCTTATTAGAGATTGAATAATTTTATTTTAAGATTATTTATTGACGACGCCTGTTATTTAATAACAAGCATTATTTATTCTAATGAAATAAACTTTATTTTAATTGACCACAATATTTCTGTGTTTTACTCTCCACCCGCAAATAGGACCCACTTTAAACTGTGTCTCCACTCAGAAACTGAAGTCACCGCTCGCCAATTTAACATCTTGCCAAGTTTCTGAATTTGAGGTCTCACACTCTTTATATACTACAACGATAGATTCAAAGTCGCAATACAACTGCTAAGTATATAGATTTGTTCTGATATTGATGTATAGGTAGGTAGTATTTGATACACTCTCCTCTCCTTTGGAAAGTTATCGTGACTTATATTAATTCTTGCAAGTAGGTATGTTCATTGAGTAGGAAGGAATATTATTGAACTTCCTTGAAAACTAAAATAATTGCCAACCCTATTTCAAATCGAATCTCTTTATTGCAAAGTTAAGACGTGTTTGCCTCCGGTCAGCGATTTGTTTGTTCAGGAGCTTTCACGGAATCGTTCTGGCTGGGATTGTAGGAGTAAAGTGTGTGTTCAGTGTCAAATTGGAAAAGTTTCCAGATAGTTTTTTGAACAGTGGTGACAAAAACGTGCCCAGAATTATTACCAAATCGAACTCATGAACTTACGTAATGTTTATTATAATTTCTTAATTTGATTATTTAAACTACAGTAGACTCGCGCTAGTGTGAACACACGCTTCTATGAACCTCCCAGTAGTATGAACAGCCAGAATGAATACATTATGTATTCTGTAGTGTGAACTTTTGGGAATCTCGGTAGTATGAACAATGCATTTGACCACGAATTTAATCGTTTTCTGTCTACTTGTTATTTTCATCGGTTGTTTCCGTCCAATTCTGAGGTTCCCTAAATGTTTTGAGACAAGGAAGGGACTTTTGTGAGAACAGACCGCATGAGAAGTCAAAAATTCTAGCAGCAAGTATCTATTGTATTAATTTTTCTTGAATTTTAAGTTTAGAGAACATTGCTGACAATATTTTGCAGTTTTGGGTAGACCTTCGATGGTGTGAACATCTCGATAATATGAACACGTCCGGTTTTTTTGTGTTCACACTAGCACAAGTCTACTGTAATTACAAAACAACCCAGTTACAAATTTTTCTCGCACAAAAATAAATGTTTTCCATTCGTTTGCACCCCAAAGAAAAACATTTTATCATTAGGGCGCTGTAGACGCTTTTTTTTTTCTCGACGAAGAGGGTATGAGACAAATAGGCAAAGCGTTGGAAGTTTTTATTTTATGGGCAACATCATCAATCCTTTCAAGGTTTTTCTCGAAACGTGCTTCTTAGCTTGAGCAAATTTTCTCTAAAGTCTAAAGTCACGCGGAATAATCCTTTGACGAAATATGACTGGAAGTAATGCAGTGTAAGACTTAAATCCTGGCAATTCGACAGCGTCCCGCAATTATCCGGCTTTCTAAGCGAATTGAAACCGCAACTTTCTCAAGTTGAACTTTATGCGAAAATGCAGCAAGCATGACAGTAATGGATGCAGGTGTATAAGCTAACAAAAATATTTTCTTTAAAAATGGGCTGTGGTGTAAAATATCTTACCATTGTAATTATTCTGGACGATTCCGCTGACTTTTCCTGCAACACGTCCACCAACTGGCATCTTAGGTCTTTTATTTGTGACAGATTTTATATTACAGTGTCTGGTCCTAGAGCCATATAAGCCTGAAACAAAAACAAAATTATTATTTTTCTAAAATGTCATCCTAAAATTGATTAACTTGGAACGGCAAGATTCTGGGCGCGTAAAAATCCGATTGAAATTTCTGGAAAATATTCCAAGGGGACAAGGCTTTAATAGAATAAGGAAAATTTTAACATCTTATATAAAAATAACAGAATGCAGAGCACTCTATTTGAAATTTGATTCGACACTAAATCAATTATTTAGACAATTGGAAATTCAAACTCGAAACTCAATAAGCTTAAAGTATTTTGGTAAAATTAGTGGCTGGAATGACAAATCTAATTATATTCGAACCTCCACATCCCAAATACAGTCAACTCGAAAACCGATTCTTAAAACATCCATATTTCATGTCTTTGCAAATTTTATTTGCTTGATGTTAATGGGAGATGTCTGGTAGTGCCGCAAGACGAGACGAGATTACGCTTTCTCTCGAAGATTCAAGAGAAAATGAGCCTCTCGTCTCCACGAAAGACCTTCCGAAACGAGAGAACTCTTTTCTCTCCAGTAAAAAGGAGTGGATTTTCACATGGAACTTCTTTAGGAGGCGTTTGACGTGAAATTGCCAAGAAACCTTTTCGATTTCTTTTCACCTTCTCTAACGAATAGGGCATTTTGTTTTTTCGAAATTCGAATTCAACATCGTTATGAGTTCGTCCGACCAACCACCCCACCAGGCAGCTGTTGGAGGATTCATTCTTCATTCAATTTTCTGTACAGTACTGCCAGTTGCCAAAAACACTTCGCTCGTTTCGTGTGGTTCGAGAAAATAGACCCGCGGTTTTTCGTTTGCCGCGACCGGTTAAATCAAGACAGTTTCGTTGCACTCTACGCAAGGGACCTGAACTTCCTGAATGAGCTGGCCAGCTGAGTGAAGTTTGGAAGTAAAGAAAGGTAAGGTGAAAAAATATCCTTTTCAGTTTCGATATCTTTCAATTTCATTTTGAAATCCTCCATGGATTACCATTCTATCAGCAACCTGTGGATTTTCCAGTTTTAGTTTCGCCTTTTTTATATCTGCAGTTACTCCAATTTTCTCTGTTCGAAAACGTAAAATCATTTCAATAAGATTGACACCCTTTTCCAAATATTGATTCAGAGATGGTTGACTTTTTTCTTTTGATGACGCATCAAAAACAGGTCGTATAGGTGTTGTTGCACTACTAGGTTTGTAAACTGGATGGTTTCGGTTCGATTTCCTTCGAATAGTGAGTGAACTAGCTGTTTCTCTCTGATCGGTTTGTAGCTTACTTCTTCAGGAAACTTTTTTGTTTATGACTTGTGTGAACCAGTATTGATAAGAAGTCTCACTTTACGTGATTATCTCTCTCCTTTCAATTCAAAAACCATGGTTTGCAGAAAAACGCAGCACAAGCATTGTGTTCCTGAACTTTCTAGGACTCTTAACTGAGACTCGATTTTATCAAAAAATTTTGATAATCTACTTTTTGTATTGAGATTTGGTAAGGCCAACTTGAGATGTTCTCTTACACAAACTTACATTAACAGATCTTCTCTCTCAAATCTCTGTTTCAGACTGTCAACTGCTTTAGCATAGTTACCTTTAGTAGCCGGGTAACTCTCAACCAGCTGTCTTGCTCGAGAATCTGGGAGTCGTAGCCTGCACTAAATTCTGCAGTTTACCCTCATCTTCTATGTCAGAATCTTCATCAATTCGACTAAATTGGTTCCAAAAACTAAGCCAGCTCTTGATGTCTCCTCCAAACTGTCTGAATTCAATTTTGGGAAGTTTAAGTTTGAATTTAGATCTGATTTCTGAGAGCTTATATCTTCCTTAGGAATTCTATCACATTTAAGTTTGATTTTATGGTATCTAAAGTTCAACTACAGAATTCATATACTTGTTCCTCGTCAA